GCAACACAATCAACAGCAACAACAGCCGCCCGCGCCTACAGAAATCGCCCTACCCTTTAACATGCATTTGAGCGGAATTTCAGCGGAGGCACACAGTGCTGCCCAGGCGGCCGCAATGGCAGCTGCGCAGGCCGCGGCAGCGCAAGCCGCCGCCGCGGATCAACAGCCAACAGCACCTCCCGCGCCACCTTCGGCACACACGCTCGCTCACCTGGTGGCCAATGCTACGCATAGTCCGACGCTTGGCGAGTCGCACTATGTGAGCAACGGTCACTCCAACAACGAGCATTCGGGCGAGGGTAATGGATCGAGCGGCAGCGGCGGCCGGGAGCCGGAGAAGCCGTTCCATTGCACAGTGTGCGATCGACGATTTCGCCAGTTGAGCACATTGACCAACCACGTGAAGATCCATACCGGCGAGAAGCCCTACAAATGCAACGTTTGTGATAAGACGTTCCGTCAATCGTCAACACTGACGAATCATTTGAAAATTCATACCGGCGAAAAACCATACAATTGCAACTACTGTCCCAAGCATTTCCGTCAGCTGAGCACTTTGGCCAATCATGTCAAGATTCATACGGGTGAGCGTACATTATTTATGGCACTTAAGGTCGCAGCTAATCCTAGCCTCCTTTGCAGGTGAAAAGCCGTTCGAGTGCGTCATATGCAAGAAACAATTCCGCCAATCCAGCACGCTCAACAATCACATAAAGATCCATGTTATGGACAAGGTCTACGTTCCTGTCAAGATCAAAACGGAGGAGGACGAGGGGTGACTAGGACGCATGGCGTTGGCGCAACATCATCATCTCCATCACCAACAGCAGCAGCAGCAGCAACAACAACATCATCAACAGTCGTCAACGCCATCGCAGCAGCAGCAACAACAGCAACAACAACAACAACAGCAGCAGCAACAACACCACATCGAACACCAACGTGGAGTTACCATTACGACGTTGCCATCCACAACGACAGTGGCACAGCATCAACAGCAGCAGCAATCGCATCTACAGCCCTCGCATGGCAATGGCAGCTCGCCGCATCCTCATTTCAATGTGGCCGCCTTGGGTGATTTGTCCAGCGCAATGCAATTGGGCGCCGTGACAGCCGATGGCAACTTTGTGACCATGGGCGGCGTTGTGGTCGGACGCATACAACATCCGCGAAGCGAGGAGCTTCAGCATCTGGGCGTCATCAAGGTGGAATCGCCAACGAATGGCATTGCCGGCTCCGCAGCTGCCGCGCAACGCGATGGATGAGTCGACAAGCCACTCCCCGAGCCCAGACTTAAGGAGACCGTTGACTCAAATGATATCGCGTCTGTGGCGCTGGAGCAGCAGCAGCGACGACGGCGGCGCCGGTTTAACAAAACATAGACCTTGGTCCGTCGGGTTGTTGTCGGTTGCCGTTGTTGTTGTTGCTGTATACGCTTACGTTGTTGTTAGTTGTTTAATTGTAGCGAAACATTGTTGTTGTTATTGTTAAGGTCTAACTTAGCAAGATGAATTATCAGGCTTGCCCTTGGCGTTGCTCACATATTTCAAGTTCACATACTACGCATCAAACTGCTTCCGCAATCTTGGAAATCTAAGCAATACTCAGATGCAATTTGAGTCGTATCTGTAATTGAAAAGTGTGAATGAACTTGAAATCTGATTCGTAAACCAAACGAGCCTGAATGCAAAACGCTTCAATAGTAGCTAAAAGAAAAATCGTCGCCAGCAGCATCATGGCCTATATGGCCTATAAAACGAAAGATCAGAGAAACACACTCATTAACACACACACACACACACACACATGCAGAGTCGTCAATAGCCACAATTACTTACGAGGCAATAGGTTTACAACAAGCTCCCCCTCAACCTTCTACCTATACACATAATAACTAATAGCTGTAACTGTTAGCGCAAAATCCTAAGTACTAAAAACAAATCTTTTGATTAAGCAAAAAGTCATTTCGTTTAAGTTGAAAGTTTAAAAAATGCTTCACAAAGTGCAACAACAAAAAAAAAAACAAAAAGAGTAAAAAACACTAGAAATGTTTTAAAGATTTGTTATATACTATACGAAAAAAAAGCGAAAATTAATAATTTTTCAATTTCAAATTGTTCTTTAGCATTTAAAGTTTAAGAGATTGTTGTAAATTGTTTAGTGCGAGAATTCTGCTGCATTCGCTGAGACACTTGACATAGTCAACGTTGCCCATTGTTTTAAAAACTTATATATAACATTTAAAAAAAAACATTATTAATTCTTATTTTCAGTAAAAACACGAAACAAATTGTAAATCATTGTAAAACAAAATTGTTAATCATTGTAAATGCAGCCATTTTAGTGAGCCCGCAAAGCAAGGCGGCTTTGTTGGGGTCAAAGTCTACACAAATTCAATTTGTTTTTAACTAGCCTAATTATTTAAATTTTGTTGTAAGCCCCTCTTTCCTCTTGCTCCAATCCAACACATTTAAAAAAAACACACACGTCTAAACGAAATTTTAAATACCTTAAGTGGCAGGCAGAAGCAACCTAATTATATAGTCTACAATTATATAAACATACTATAATTAGTTGATCCTTAGTTTGTAATTATTGGCCGAGCGCTTTGTTGTGGCCCCCTGAAAGTGAGTTTTGTTAATTTTAATTCTAGCTTTAGTCGTTATAGTTTTATTTTGCAAATTGGCACAATTTGAAACGAAGCAATTACAAAAACAACAAAAAGCAAAAAAGCAACGGTTTAACGCTAGTTAATGGAGTAAGCACACAAACTATTACTAATGCTAATATTAATCATATAATATTGTGCGATAGAAAGCAACAAGTTCTGTACAAAGCCCGACTCCAATTTTGTATGTATAAAAATGACAGCAGGAGAAAACAAGAAATACGAAAATACTATTTTCTAAAAATATTAAATCTGCCTATTTTATTTTCTATATATATATGTTTTTATTTGTTGTTCTCAGCTTACCTTAAGTTTCGCGCCAAAACACAGCCGACTGAAATTCCGTTTTCGTTTTGTTAAGAATTTTCAATATTTTGCAAAAAGTTCCTATAGACTTTTGATAAAGAATTTCAAGTAAATAACTAAATACAACAAATTCCAATGTATACGAGAAGATAATTTCAATTCGGACGATTCGGTAAGAAAAAAAAAAACGATGCAAATAAATATAGTACATAAATGCATATAAATAAATAATAAATGTTGATAAATGTGTAGTGTTAACAAGTGAATACAAAGAAAAGAACAATTGTAGTATTTAAATGTAAGAGCTAAAAAAATATTCTAAATAATGCTTAAAGATCGTTTAGCAAAAAAAAAAAAAAAAAAAGAAAAAAATTGCCAGGTTCCATATTTTCATACGCAGCAGTAGAGGAAATGCTTTGCATTGCTTTTTCACTGCAGTTTTGTATAGGCAAAAAAAAAAAAAAGAGAAAATGATAACTTTGGAGAAATATTAAAAAGCGAGTAAAAGATTCAAAATTGAGTGCATCATCAAAAAATGTTCAATTTAAAATATCAAATATTGATTTGGTTGCATTTTTGAGAAGTATTTTCATTAATTTCTTTTATTTGTCTATACTTTTATACAAAGTCCCTTTTTTTATTTATGTTAACAGTTATTCTGCATTTCAATTCGAATTTGATTCTTATGCTCCCTTGTCAGATTCTGATCAGATTTGTAGCTCAGCATCAAACGGCATCCCCCCACCACCACCACCACCAACACCACACACTGTTCAGACATATGTATATTTTAAAGCAGAATAGGGGTCGTAGTGAGATTAGCAGTTAAGCGCCTAATTTAAATAGTTGTATGAGTGTAAAACAGCAATGAATTTAGACATAAAATGAACAAAGCAAGGAATGCAGGAGATACGAGTAGAAACAAAAATTTATGGAAACAAAGCGATATGCTTAAAAACAAATAAAATATATACGAAATAACGACTTGATAATATTGTATAATTATACACAAAAGCTATATATATGTATATGTATATATTTACATGTATATGTGTGTGCCGTAGCTGTATTTATATGTAATTGTGTATTTAGTTAAAAACATATATATATATATTTGCAAAACTGAAAAACAAAAGCCACGAAACAACAAAAATACAGAAGTATGAAAAGCAACCATTTAAACGGGTTCTTATTGGGAGATTGCAACACTTCAATGAATAGTAGATTTTTGCTTTGTTTCCTTTCTTTGTATATCTGATTGGCTATATTTATTTTAATTTAATTTGTAAAAATTTAATCCTTTGCTTAATTGCGCAGCTCCAGAATTCGATATTTTATTTGGTGTTTATTTATTGTGACTCAGCTATCGGTTCACAGTACTGCCTATCGTTAGCGATTGTCTGACCGTTGCGTACCCCCTAATAAGTAGTAGCCGCTTACAAGAAAACGTTCTGCCAATTTCGCAAATAAGTTTAGATTTTAACAATGTTCCGTCTACAACAGTCACAGCCCGACCCAGCGGAGGAACAGAAACGAGTTGCCGCTGAGGTGCGAAACAATTTCATTATGTTTGGAGCCCTCTGTGCAGCTATTCGGCTGGGTAAGCAATATAAAACGTGCGAAGCTTATGTAAATACAGGTGTTTAATTACATTCGGCATTTCTTGTACAAAAATAGCGCCTATTGTTCTACAACACCTGAAAACTGCATAACAGCAACATATTTGGATCTAGAAGGAGGGCGATACAATTTAAGCGCTACAAACAACAACAAAAAATGCATTTATTTAAGCGCACGTGCATTAATGGCGACATAACGATTACTTTTCATAAGGAAAAAGGGAATGAATGTTATATATGCACACACTGTAGTCTTTTTAAGCTTATTGCACCTGTAATGTAAATAAATCGTTTCAAATATATGCAATAAAAATTGCAAAATATGATATATATATGAGCGTGTCCGTACACGACTTCTATTTATTTATATCGATATATAGTTGCAATATATCGCAAGTAGCTCGCGGCGCTTACCAACACAGTGGACAAGACGTCAACCTGGCTAACAGAATAAAACAACAAACACTGTATAAACAGTTGGCAGCTAGCTTTTAGACGTATAAAGAGTGGCCAAGAGGCATAATGAAAACGTAAAATCATTTCCACCCGGCTGCTGACTCAGGCGAACGCTGAAGCAATCCATTAAGCTACTTAGATAACGTCAACTGGCCAACTTTGCAAAGAGAAAAACAATAAAAGCTACAATACTAAAAGTGGAAACATATGGCACGGTCCCCGCGTCCGTAAAATTGTAGATAACGGGCTAAGAGACTCTCCCGGCTGCTGCCTTGTACATGTACATCGCAATAATTGTTTCCGTCGCCCGTCGGGCGTACATGCATGTTATCTAGATAATGGTTGGCCCCAAGTATGAACGCCTCAACACCGGCGACGTCGACGTTGGCAGCGACGCCGATGCCGAAAACAACATTGAAGAGGTCGAACTAAGTCACGACTTGACTCACAAAAATGCTAGCGCTAGTCAAGAGCGCCGACAGCTGTCGTCGCACGCTAACTTTAAATACGCGCAGAGCAACAGCAGCGACAACGGGAATAACGGCAGCGACGCCACGTCTGCACCGCAGCAGTACACGCACGACGGAATGACACGGCATGCGGATGCGCGGTTCATGCAGATGGCCATTGGGACGCTGGCCACAATACTGCTATATCTATCGCTGTCCATAACGCTCACCTTCTATCAGACGGACATCAATCGGGAGCTGCCCTTTCCGCTCACCATTGTCACGTATCATTTAATATTGAAGTTTATGCTGGCTGCACTGGTGCGCAGCATCTATAAGATGCGTGTGGGCAAGACGCGCGTCCAGCTGGACTGGCGGGTGGCTGTGCGGAAAATGGCGCCAACGGGCGTTGCCAGCGGCATTGATATTGGTTTCTCCAATTGGGGCCTTGCACTGGTGCCTATATCGTTGTATACTATGACCAAATCCTCGACCATTGTCTTTATACTGCTCTTTGCCATCTTGCTGGGACTGGAGCGCAAGGTGAGCGTGGCTTTGCATTATAAATATAATAATTATATTAAAACCAATTGTTTTCTAGAGCTGGTCTTTAGTGCTCATAGTGGGTCTAATAGGCCTAGGCCTGTTTATGTTTACCTACAAGTCGACTCAGTTTAATACGCTGGGCTTCTTCTTCATACTGTTTGCCTCGCTGAGCAGCGGTCTGCGCTGGAGTTTTGCGCAGTTTATTATGCAAAAATCCAAGCTGGGTCTGCACAATCCCATTGACATGATATACCATATGCAGCCCTGGATGATTGCATCGCTGTTGCCGCTAGTATTGTTCATTGAAGGTGCACAGTGGATTTATGTTCATAGTTAGTTCAACATGTTAACGTATTTCACTCTGTTTGCAGGACCTAAGCTCTATAAAGTGCTAGAAAATCTGCATAATGTCTCCGAGGCGGATGTTATTTGGACGCTTGCCCGCATTACACTCGGCGCATTTATAGCATTTTTCATGGAGGTCAGCGAATTTCTAGTGCTCTGCAAAACATCCAGCCTGACGCTGTCCATAGCGGGCATTTTCAAGGATATTTGCCAGCTGGCTCTAGCTGTGGCGCTCAAAGGCGACCAGCTCAGTCCCATCAACCTGGTCGGCCTGGCGGTCTGTCTGGCAGGCATCGCCTGTCACCTGCTGCACAAATATTCCAGCATGGCGAAGCTAAACAAGCAACAGCTGGCGCTGCAACTTGAAGACGATGGCGAGGACATGTGCGCTGAGTACGACTTCAACAAAGGTAATGTGATTGTTGGCGTTCATGGTAATTCAGCTGGCACTCATGCAACACTCACTGCGCCGCTTCTGGAACAAACCGACTCGGAGGATGAGTCGGCTGCTGATTCTGCAAACAAGCAAAACGCATCGGATGTCATTTTCGATGTGCTCAAACGGCGCGACATGCAGCGATGAGTTGGTTGATTTAAGTTTCCTGCACCAACGCAACGTTTATTTTTTTTCCTATTGTTTCAAGGTTTCTGGGTAATACCCGGACAATTGTGATTGCGGGTGTGAGTGTGCGTGGGGGTGTGGCAGCTGTCAGCATGTTGACACTCTTGTAAATGTTGTAAATTCGAAAGTTTTCTACTTAGCGCAACAATTTATCTACATCCGTGTTATAACCATATGTAAATTAATCGATGTCAGCTTATTTACACTTATATACCCTTGCAGATGATATACTTTTGTATATACATGACTATTCTATCGATCATCTGACTAGATCAGTTTGTCTGTTTGTTTCTATTCGGTTGAAAGGCCCATAATTGTAATGCGATATAATTTTGTTATTCCGGCTAGATTCGGAACGCCATATGCGTTGCCATAAGAACAAATGTTCGATGGAAATAATTAATCCAATGCCAAGTCTACTCTATAGCTATGTCTGCAAGGGTAATTGAATTCGGTGTGCCGGAAATTGATTTTAATATTCCAACATTCCCCGAAGTCATTTATATTAGCTTTGACTTAGTTAAATAATGAAATAGAATTATGATTTAGTTGTTAATTATAATGTTAATTGGGCATTTGTGCATATTTTTCCAGATATCTTAGTTTTTAGCTAAACAAAAATATTTGCTGAAAGTAATCCCCACTACTATATGCCAATATTAACCCAATGAACTGGCAACTACTATACTTTTTATAATTATGATTTTACAAAATGCAAAGAACACTTTTAAGGCTCTTTATCAAAATGTATTTTAAAAATTTGAACTTCCAGAGTTCTTAATAAACTTGTAAATGTATCAATTATGAGAATATTGTAAAAGTGTATAAAGAAGTTTACCATATAGTTATTATTGGATCACCCCAAGATATGGTTGCTTGTACGTGTGGCTAATGCATCCGTTTCAGCCCAAAACCAATTGAATATATCCACCGTCAGGCATGACTGGCTGCTGGCTATTAGTTTTCGGTCTTGAGTGCCCGGTCTAACACCTTTCAATGTTGCGCATAGCTTTGTGTACCTGTGGAGTCGGCCTTGTCCTGCTATTGTTCAACTTTTGGCTTTGGCAGTCGACTCAGCGTACATCGACGCAGATATCATCCAATGAGGAGAAACATTTCAATGCCACGCTTGCAAAGCTATTAATACCACGTTGGCCAGGCTCCCGTGGCCATTCGTTGGTGTGCGACTTTCTCATCGAAGAACTGCGTACGCTTGGCTTTGTTGCAACTCGTGATGAGTTTTCCGACACATTTCCACTGACCAATGTGGTGGGAGTTCTGCATCCGAACGCAAAACAGTTTCTACTGCTTAGCTGTCATTACGACTCGAAGTTTGTGGAAACAACCCGCCATTATGTGGGCGCCACGGATGGCGCTGTCTCCTGTGCCATTTTACTGAACATGGCTAAGAAACTGAATTTCTTTTTCCGCAATGAGCTTGGGCGCAATCGGATCGGCTTGCTGGTGAGTGGCAGGATGTCTTTTATCTGTTTGTCATCATTATTATTGTACCGCAGCTGGTTTTCTTTGATGCCCACGACTCTGTAAACGGCATTACCGATAATACCTATCCACTGATTGGATCCAAAAGCTTTGTGCGGGCGGAAACTATACCATTAAATCGCATCGTAAGCATCAAATTATTGTTAATCAATTATTTAAAGACAACTTTGCAATTCATAGAGTTTGGTCATCTCTTTTAATTTGATTGGCGCACCAGACCAAATCTATATGAGCCGATATGAACGTACATATAATTTACACGAACGCCTGGCGAACATTGAGGAGGAGCTGCGGGCATCGGGTCAACTTGATCCGTGCCATCAGCTGTTTTACAAGTTAAAGGATCATGACAGCGACATAGATGATGATCACTATTCGTTTCTAGCCAAGGGTTAGTTTTTTATGTAAAGTATTATGTAAAGTAATTTATAAAAAATTAATTTAATTAGGCTTGCCAGTAATGCATGTATTGCCCCACACTTATCCAGAAGTGTGGCTCCAAGAATCGGATAATCTACAGAATTTGCATTGGCCGACGGTTCGAAATATGAACACAATTATAACACGGTTTGTCTATGAATATTTGAATTAGCTACAATGAGAAGGAGGAGGAGGAGTTAGATTTACTTGAGTTTCAAATAAAGGAACAGCAGAATTACCAACATTTTTTAACTTCGATCAGCACTAGCTATCGAATTGAAACGATTAGAATTATTCGATATGCTTCGACAGCGGCTGAATGCAACACTGCGCTACGCAGCTGCAACAATCTGTGTTAGCCGCCTTCCCGCGCATTTCATGCTGGATTAGCTATATTTGTCTTCATGATACAACCACCAAACACTTTGGCTATTTGGTTTTTCACTCGTCCAAAAACCACTGTAGAAATCAGTCGCACCACTCAAGCCAAGCGCACGCCAGTTTAAATTCCATTGTGAGTAAGCAGCCACACGCATCGGCATCGGTTTGGCGGTAACACCTAACCTTACATATAAACATACCACATACATGTATATTTATGTATACATTCATGCATTCATATATATTTACATACATGTTGATGTTTTTCTAGTTTTGTGAAAGAAAATTGTGAAATTTATCAGTTAACGGACAGCGAAAATGCCACGACGCAAGGTACTCACAAATAATAATAATGCCGAAGAGGAAAAGACGATGCAGCCCACAAAAGCAAAAAGGGCGCGAATGATATTCCATCTGGAATTGCCGGAGCGTCGTCAAATAATTGGCAACGTTTTAGTCTGCGGCACTGGCGATACCGGGCAGCTGGGCCTTGGCGAGGACGTCTTGGAGCGCAAGCGTCCAGCTTTAATTGAGAGCATACCAAATCCAGTGGATGTCTGTGCTGGCGGCATGCACTGTTTGGTGCTGACAAAGAATGGCGATGTCTACTCGTTTGGTTGCAATGACGAGGGTGCGCTTGGCCGTGACACCAGCGAAGAAGGCAGCGAATCGACGCCGGCTCTTATCGATTTGCCTGGCAAAGCGCTTTGCATTTCGGCGGGCGACTCGCACTCGGCTTGCCTACTGGAGGATGGTCGTGTTTTCGCTTGGGGCTCGTTCCGGGACTCGCATGGCAACATGGGACTTACTATTGATGGTAACAAGCGCACGCCCATCAATCTGCTTGAGGGCATGGTTTGCTGCAGCATCGCATCTGGCGCCGACCACTTGGTTATTCTTACCACGGCGGGCAAAGTCTTCACCGTGGGTTGTGCCGAGCAAGGGCAGCTGGGTCGCATCGCTGAGCGTTCGGTTGGTGGCGAGGGTGAGTATTTTCACATAAAATGTCGTAGTGTGCCATGTGCTAAACATTAAATATGTGCTATTTCGTAGGACGCCGGGGTAAGCGCGACTTATTGCGCCCAGACCAGCTAATCATAAAGCGCGCCAAGCCATTTGAAGCAATTTGGGCTACCAACTACTGCACATTCCTGCGGGAGTCGCAGACTGAGGTCATTTGGGCCGTGGGCCTAAACAATTATAAGCAGCTGGCGCACGCAAAGGAAGCCGAACGCGTTCTTATACCCATCAAAACCGAGTTGAAGGATGTCAAGCAGATCGCTGGTGGTCAGCATCATACACTGGTGCTGGACAATGCAATGCGCTGCTTTGCCATTGGGCGTCCCGACTATGGACGCTTGGGGGTGGGCGATGTCAAGGAAGTGGTGTCCGAGCTAACGCCAATCAAAGAGCTCAGCGGCAAGACCACATTTGTGGGTTGCGGTGAGGCTTGCTCCTATGCCATTACCACCGATGGTAAACTGTATTCCTGGGGCATGGGATCCAATCATCAGCTAGGTGTGGGTGATGGCGACGATGAGCTGGAACCGGTTGTGGTGAGCAGCAAGAATACACAAAACAAACGCATGCTGATGGCATCCGGCGGTGGTCAGCACAGTGTGTTTCTGGTCGAGTCCGACGTGAAAGAGAAGCAAAAGGAGAATGTGCCAGCCAGCAAGAAGCCAAAGGCAGCTGCTGTTGAAGCAGCCAAGGAGCAAACAGGGACAGATTTAAAGGATGACGACACAGCTGCCGCAGCTATCGATACAAGCCCCTCAACCGGCGATGCCGGTAAGACGGTCAAAAAGACAGCAGCTAAACGTGGACGCAAGAAGGATTAATAGAAACGTCAATGAACGTTTCATTTGTTTATTTTAGCCGCATTCATATGCGCAGCTACACTTACTACTTTAAGCCAATTGAATAAAATGTTTATTTAACTGATTTTGTTTTAAATATATAGTGAAATTTGTATGTATTCGCAAAATAGCAATAAAAGCTATTGCAAAAGCCGGAACAAAACGAACTAAAACACTTATTTACAAACTAATCAACTTTTTAATTATTAATATTAACTGTTTATAATTTACAAATATCATACATGAAGTAACTACAAATCCATTGTTTCAAGCGGCTACGAAAGAAGAAAAATTCACGACTCGAGCATCTAGCCCATGCAAATAGCAAATGTGTAAATCTTATAAATGCAAACGGGGTGGATGCTGCCCATTTACTCAATTTAAAATACAATACTAATTTATGTGCTCATCTATATAGTAATTTTGTATAAGTATATGCACATATATATATATATATCAAGATAACATATATATATGTATATATATATTTTCCGACTACATGGAATATGATTCTGCTGGTTGATTGCCATGAACTGCTGCTGCTGCTGCTGCCGCTGAATTGATGCTGGTGTCGACCAGAGATAGGTCGGTGGTTGTTGTTGACGAATCGATGTGAGCACCGCCTTCATTGTGGCCGTCATAGTTGCTACCCAGATAGAAGCTTAGGAATAGTATGCAGCACAGCAAGGAGAGTGAAAGAATCACGCGAGCTATTTTACGTGCGAATGCAACAAGACCAAGCAGATGACCACCATTGGCAACACCGCCCATCTGACCGCCAACGCCTTGGCCACTGCGCAGGGACAATTGAAGGTGAGCCAGGAGTAACGCTTCTAAACAATCGAATTCGTCATCAGTGTATTCCAGGCCTAGGCCTAAATCACAAGCGCAGTCCTCTCTGTGCATTTTGTAGTCGTCGTTGTTCTGGTTTTTGTTGTTGTTTTCGTTGTTATTGTTGCTGGGTTCGATTTGGTCGCTGGCAGTGGCTTCGTCTTGGATGGTCAGATTGCATTGAGACAGTAAATATTATTTGCGCTTGGGACACGTATATGCTGTAGGTTTGTGACCGCTTCCTCCACCAGAAGAATGATGATGAGGACGACCCCCCCCCGATGTATGATGCATCTGCTCGAACATTAGAAAGCCGAAACCAATAAAGAGCAGCAATAACAAAGCTAATGTAGCGTATTGTAAATGTTTTGTAAAGTTCAATTGAGCTTCCATTTTCTTGGCCTGCAACTGCATCTGTTCGGCACCGAATTCCTGTGAGGGTTAAACGAAACATTGAATAGAAAAATGCAATCACAGGTATCTCAAGCTGATCAAACGTACGCGACTGTTCACTTGGCTATCGCTTTTGGCGCCACAGTCCTTCTTCTCATCGAGACGACAAACAAGACGATAGTTCTCCACATCTGAATCATTTGCAGTCTTCTCTCTCCACAATTCTTGAACTTCTTGTGCGCCGCTTCCCCCATCCGGCGAGTTAGTTGCCATTACAAGGAATTTATCTTTCCCATCTGAGCTCAGCGTATGGTCCGGCTTTAGCCAAATGCTCACATCGGTGGTTTCATTCGGCTGCACCACACCACAGCGTGGACGAACTCGAAACTTTTCTGGCGATGTGGTTTGAATCTATAACGATGCGATGATGCGTTGAAATTTAATTGGATGCAGCGGAGGAATGGAGCACGTACCTTATAAGCGACCGGTTGACTGGAAATGTTCTTGATGCTTAACTTTGCTTCCCCACTTTGTGGGCAAATATTGACAAATTCTTTGGGCGCCAATTGCAACATAACTGTACAGCAGATACAATATATATGTAGATAGGAAATAAATAGTACGTTTTGATAATCAAACTATAAAAATTTTTTAAATTTATGTTCAAACGAAATAACAAAGTTTCATTAAATCTCAGCGAGATGTAACTGATTTTAAAAGCAATGTTGTATATGTTTTGCAAATAGTTGGCAGATATGAGGCACATTTATGACTTACCCCCATTATCGGAGGGTGTGTGCAGCTCGCCAAAGCTTGAGTCGTGCGGCGCCATCAGAACGCTCTTCGAGAAGGTTACCTGGCAAAGAGAGAGACACACAGACAATGAATGGATTCTATTTCAAGCTGAGCCGCTCGCTGGCAGCCCTTCTCCGATGGCAAGACTATCCATCAATCGATTCATGCTGAGCTCTGCGATTTTCGCAAGTGCCATTCATACACTCTTGGCCCCACTTGAGCACAGAATTGGAGGACGTTTGGCAAATTGATTTGATTTACTTGGAAATAATTTGCACGCCCATAATACGCCGCATATGTTGGTATTTGTGTTTTGCTTTTCCGCATAAAACAGTGCTTCAACAGTTTGGTTTTTGTATATAACAAACTAGCTATACCTTTGTTATAAAGACCGACACTTTGAGGCAGAGAATAATAAACCGCCGTTATTATTATTGTTGTTAAGATAAATCGCAAATTAACTGGTTAGCTATTGCAAACTTAGCTGCACGTTCTGTTAGGCTGCTGTTATTAACAGAGCGACTGTTATACTCAAAGTAGCCCGTGAATATCGTAGCGTGCGACAAGTTCGAGTTATTTTATTTAATTTTAAAGTTACGAATGACGTCTGCAAAGCTTTAAAGAGCATACAAAGTTATATTCTATACTTCATTTCAAAAGTAATTGTTTAACTGCATACATATATTTTGCTCGCACTTTGCGTTATCAGCGTACTAACAGATATATCGATAACATTAACAGTAATAGAAGCATTGTGACGTAGCAGCGAGCAATGCGCTACGCACAGCATCTGCTCAAAGAGAGAAATCAAAACGGTTTTAAAAACGAATATGCAAATTTTGACTGGATTGAATTACAAATCCTCAAATATAAAACCAGAAGTGCTGCAAGTAGCTAAGCAAGGTTAAATTCACGTCTACACATCTTGAATATCAATTGGAATTCGTTTTCGTTCTGTACACCTTTTCCGATGTCGTTGTTATGCTTTGTTTAGCATAAGCAGCACACACCACAGCACAGCCATGATCACCAATACACAAAAAACAAAAACGCATACATAGCTATGTATATAAGTCGACACCACCTACCCTGGGCATGTTTGTAGAAGAGCTGTGTGTTCCGTCTCTTGATTTCTTTTGCATTCTTTTTGGTCTTTCGGTTAATATATTTTGTAGCTACTTTTACAAGTCGCAGATTGCGCAGAAACGGAAGTATTTATATCGGATATTAAGTTAATACACTGATATTTTAGACAGCTGATGACGTCTTGCCGACGTACCGCGACAAACGTGGAAACACAACTAAAAGCACCGCAAAAGCAACAACACAAAAAGCAAAAGACAAACACACTAAAGCTCGCTGGCAAACCAAAAAGCTTTCGGCTCTGCGATCGGACTCTGGGAACAGCTGTTCGGCCGATTGCATCGAATGTTCAATTGCGATTCATGTTAATTCAATTACGTTTACACAGAATGCGGGCGGGCGAGCGATAAATGAATAAAGAGAAAATGAATATGAAAAATTTGTTGGTCAGACGAGCGGCGGCTCAACGCCAAATGGGGTGCACTTGGGAATTATTTATAATGTATTCCACGAGTGTTCTATTTTATTATTTTTGTGTGTTTTTTTTTCAGGTCAACGCCTTGCAACGCTTCAGCGAGCAGACACTAGAGAGAGAGAGAGAGAGCGAGAGAGAGACTAGAGAGCGCAAACGAAAGCGAAACTTTTGCAATATGTCAAAGAAATGGCCGTAAATAGCAAATAACAGTGGACCCTACGGGTTTATTATGCACGCGCAGGACACGCAACCTGCAGCGCACCCTAAATCAATACGCGCTTACAATGTAAATCAATTAGAGGAGCAGCAAATGTTGCTCGCGTGTCTGGTGGTCAGGTAAAGCAATTAATAGACAAACTTCCGGCTGGCCCAAAGCACAACAGCTCAAATGAAACACACCCAAATAAAGAACTGCACACACACACACACACACACACACATATATATATATATAGACATACGTATTTAGCTCTGGGTTATGGGTCACTTACCTTCTTGTCCAAGCCCATGTCCTCATGTGGCTGGTCGTCATCGCCGGCGTTGGCGGCCTTCGGTTTGGGTGGCGCTCGTTTGGATTCGGGCACAAATTGGAATTCGTAGCTGTCATTGCCACCCCAGCTGACCAGACAATTGTCCTTGGGCACATACTGCGTGACGTCCTTTTTCGATATCATTTTCAATATCTCGACCGCCTTGGGCGGCAGCAGAGCTTTGATGACCTTAAAGGCGGCTACAAACAGGTGCAAAATGTTGAGTGTCAAAGTTCAAGCTGAAGAGCTGCCAAACCCACCATTCAGAACCCAAGCCAGCTCAAAAACCAGTATATAGTTGAGAGCATTGGGATAGTAGAGCTTAAAAGTTTCCACAATCCGCTTGACGAAGTCCAGATCCATTGTTGCCAGTCCCGTGCCGGCCATATCAAAGAATATGCTCAACTGGGTCAAGTGGCTCTCGCGCTGCTTGCGCTCTATCCAGTAGACGACGATGCGTATCAGTTCATCCAGATTCTTGGATTTGCTGTGCAATCGGACCCGAAAGATGAGCAGCGGCTTGCCATCCACATCGACACCGTGCACAAATACGGATCCCTCAGTCAGGTACTCCTGATTCAGTTTGTCCTCGGTCAGGTCATTGGCACCGTAAGATTGACGCCAAGTGCAGGTTTCCCAGAGCTTAGTAAAGGACGTCTCTATATCCAGATCGTGCATTTCCAGAAAACGTTGTAGCCAGACATGATCGTTGCGTATGCGATCAATGTCGATCGGGTGAAAGGGTTCTATAATAAAACCAACAAAAATAATGTTGATATTTGTGAGCTTGGGTTTTTATACATAACAATTCTAATTGCTTATTGGCCATTTTCATTGGTCATTAGGCATAATGAGGACTGACATCAGTTATAATAATGGATCAATGAAGAAGTTGGAAGATTTCTTGAAAGCAGAACTCTGAACTTCGACATCTCCTCTACAATATTAGGATTCGATCCTTAATGCCTTTTATTTACAATTCTACACCCA